CTTGAATTTTGCAAATTGCTTTTGGTTTCTGCATATTTACATTATGTGTGTACCAAATTTCAAGTGTCAGCAAAGGTTCGAACAAATTTGGCAAAGTTTCGAGTTTCAGATGCCGATGAATATATTTATATTTATTTTATAATTTAAAGTACAATAAAGATGTAAAATCAATATTTTAATTTAAATACCGTTTAAAAAAATTTTTTTTTAAGACACTTCAGAGCGCTCACTTTATGTATAACACATATTGAAGAAAAGTAGGTAGAAATAATATTTCTAAGGCCAAATAAATTCTTGGTATTTAAACAGTTTTTATAATTCAGATTGTAATATTTTTATCCAATTAATTTGTTACAATTTTTTTAATCTTATAATTTCCAGGGCAGTATAAAGCATTGAAACATCGCTGGATGATAATATAGAAGTTCAGATAAAAAATAAATGTAAAGGCACATTATTTCAATTAAACTGAGAATTTTTCAAATTATATATACAGGGTCTCCCAGTAATAAGTGTTAAAATGTTAATCACTTATCGCTTCATCAAAAATAACAATTTTGTCTAATAATTTTTTTAAAAGTCTAAAGTAAAAGTTTTGAACATGGTGTATTTCAGCAATAGAGACTGGTGAAAATAAAAGTTTTTACGGTAAAAAAATTTCCTGCAGGAAGAGCAAAATAAAAAATTTAAATAAAGATTGCAGATTATGAGATCTCGAAAAGACTTGCACATATGTTTGTAGAATATTTTTTTCATAATCAATTGATAAATATAATCAAATGTTTTTGTTTCACCAAATTAAATTTTTGTTTTAAATATCATTTGATACTAACTAATAATGATGCAACTTTAAGAAAAATTAAAATTTTGAGATAAATAAAAAAAATGTTTCTACCTGTCAGTGGTTTATGAAGTACAGGGTAGCCCATCGAAAACGTACAGCAAGGCATTACAGGGTAGTAATGAACTTTGCAGCAAAATCCAAAAACAACTTTTGGCGCAAAAAGCATAGTAAAATCTTCAACCCCCAAAGTGGGGATGCCATCCCCCAAATTTTTTTAAATGGGAATGGGGTCAAGTGGGGGATCATTAGAAAGGGCTTTTAATTCTCTATACATCGATTCTTACTTTTTGAAAATCGATTCATTATTTTAGAAAATATGCAGCTTTGAAAATACGAACAATATTTTTGACGAGAAATGCGAAAATCGATTTAATTTTACTTCAAAACTTACGGTATTAGTCAAGTAAATGCTGAAAATGTTGTCCGCCAACTTGCATACAATGATACAGGTTGTCTTCAAACCGTTGTCGAACATTCTGGAGCACTTGCGGTGTTACTTCGCGACATACATTAATGATTCGTCCTCGCAGATCTTCCAAGGTATCAGGTGGAGTGCTGTAAACTTTGCTTTTAATGTGCCCCCAGAGAAAGAAATCTAAAGGATTTAAGTCGGGTGACCGAGGGGGCCACTCAATTGCACCTCTTCGTCCTATCCAGCGTCCTGGAAACGTCTCATTTAGGTAATTGCGCACATTGAGCGAGTAATGTGGAGGAGCTCCGTCTTGCTGGAAAATCAGTTCGTGTTCATTGTAAGCAGGGTCGTCCTCTATGATATTTGTTAGAG